AAAAGAGTAGCCCAAGAGTTGGCGGTGGGTGGCCTTCCCTCTAGTCTTACACTGATAAATTAGGGACGGCTAGCGCAGATAGCCCTCGTGTAGCTTTGTGCGAAATTCATAACAAGCAAACGCCTTCTCGCGGCTGTGAAAAGAGTTAAAGTCTAGTGTTTAACATATGAAGTTGGTTGACATATCATAAATATAAAATTGCCAAACTAATAACTGTTCTCCAGTAGATATTTCATAATGACGTTTTACCTAAACTTGGCTACTATTTGTTCAATAACCAAAATATTCAAAACAGATAACGGCTGGTAGTTTTTACAGAATTATCATACCGGTTTTCGCAAACAGACGAAACTGCAGCTAGTCCTAAGAATTGCAATGATAATAATACGAGGAGGTTTAATCTCAACAGAAATGACTACGTTTCTTCCAGAACACTTAGTTACCTACCGAGGACAGCTGTGAAAAGCTCCGGCGCAGAACTTCCAGCAGCCATAAAAGTAGCCCCAGCTACGTCATCACTGAGGTTTAGTCGCTGTCGAAATACATAAAAAATGAAATTAGATACTCAAAGTGGAATGTATTAGGCCTAAGTCATTATAAAGCTAAAAAACAAAACAAAAAACAGTTATATAATTTCACTAAATTGAGGGGGGAAATGCTCTAATTATCTAGATTTAATAATTATTATAGATTTCTCGCAAGTCTGCGCCCCAAATAAAATCTATTTATTTGTTCTGGTGCTAAGTTGAAAAAGCAACTTTCACGTTATTGAAGAATATTTACGGACCCCATAATGTACTAGATGTGAACAATTTGAGTTTACATATTACACTTATATTTAAGTTTTTTAAGTTTACTGTAATCAAAATATAATTTTCAATTTAGTAAGTTGTTTTTAATATACTGAAACAAAAATTACAGCATCACAGTTATCTTTTGTTAGTATCATTAAAACACAGCAAAATACACAGTTAAAAACACAGCAAGGACAACAGTCAACTATAAGTATGACAGAAATAAAAACACAGCTAGCATCACAGTTATCTTCTGTTAGTCATTAAAACCCAAAACGCAGCTAGCGTCACAGTTATCTTCTGTTAGTCATTAAAACCCAAAACGCAGCTAGAACCACCGTCAATTATTAATATCACTGAACCCGAAAACACAGTTAGCATCACAGTCAACTCTTGTTACTATCATTAAAACCCAAAACACAGCTAGAACCACAGTCCAAATCACAGCTAGAACCACAGTCCAAATCACAGCTAGCATCACAGTTATCTTCTGTTAGTATCGTTAAAACCCAAAACTCAGTTAGAACCACAGTGAAGTATTAGTATCACTGAAACCAAAATCACAGATAACATCACAATTAGCTTATTTTAGTATCATGAAAACCCAAAACCCAGCTAGAACCACAGTCAAGTATTAATATCACTGAAACCAAAATCACAGATAACATCACAATTAGCTTATTTTAGTATCATTAAAACCCAAAACCCAGCTAGAACCACAGTCAATTATTAATATCACTAAAACCAAAATCACAGATAACATCACAATTAGCTTATTTTAGTATCATGAAAATCCAAAGCACAGTTAGAACCACAGTCAAATATTGGTATCGCTGAAACACAGCTAACATCCCACCTATTGATAGTATCGCTAAAACACAAAACATAGTTAACACCCTAGTAAGTTTCTATTACTATCAGTGAAGCAACACAAAAAACAGCTAGCGGTCCAGTCAACAGTTGTTTAAATATGATAAAACTAAGATCACATGTAACGAACTTTACAGAAACATGGGACACAGATAACTTTACCCTGTTGCTTCTTGTTAGCAAGCAAAAATGAGCAAGAAGGTAGCTTCGTTTTGATACAAAAATTATTTTTCATGAAAATGGACGGTTTTAAAATTCAAAACCAATATTGAGTGTAGTTGTGTTTTGCCTAAACCTGAAAAACTGTTTTATGTATTACTAGTAACGTTGTACTTCTGAACATGTGACTTTAGCTACTAAAACTGAAAGTTAAGTGTGGTAAAATTCAGGGTTGACATTTAGCATGGAATATTGTTTTCAAATCATAAAGTCTAATATTCAAGATACAAAACGGGAGTATTCAGATTCATTAAGCCTTGTGATAAAATTACGTGACTACCCAGTAAACATACGACGAATTAATGTTTGTCTAATCATTGTAAACACAAATTAATAGAAGTAATGATCTCTTAACATCATCCAACCAAAGTGTTTTTGAAATTGGGTTAAGGTAACGTTTCAATGTGAACAACATATTTTATTCGGTAAGTTAGTTATCACTTATAACTTTTCACAGCTTATGGAATTCATCTTGGGTCACTAGTCAGTATCTGGCATGAATTCCATGTGCGTCACAGGGTATGGTCTAGAATATTTCGCCATGTAACAAGGACATCATGGTGAAAGTTAAGCACTTTGTTAGGCTAACGAAACATAGTGTTGATGAAACGCGTAACTTCTATTCAGAGGTTTCCTATTGGATCCATATATGGTAATAATGCTGATGACTCTATGTGCTCCAACTCCTGTTCTCGGAAGAAATTCTGAATCATTTAGCCACTATGTGGTTTGGTGTTGTCATCTTGGATTTTTTTTTTTCTGAAAGGCTCCTCTTGTAAACGGAACCAACTTTTCCTCTAATATGCTTTTGTACTGGTTTTGATCCAGTTTTCAATCAGTGATGCAAAGGACACTCTTACTCCCTAGAGAGGAATGCACCCCAGACTCTCAAACCACCACCTCCAGCTTGCACCTTTGACTGGATACAATCGTCGCTATATACTTCGTAGACTTATCATCACACACCCAAATAATGCGAAAGACTTCAAAGCTGAATTCGTCACTGAATATCACATGTTGCCAATTTGAAAGATGCCATCCTAGATGTTCACTGAAGACAGCTCTGGCGATGACCTTGGGTCAAGTTGGACTTTCTTAAGGGGCGTTTTGCATGATAACCAGCATTTAGCGATTGATGATTAACCAGATTTCTTGATACCGGCACATTTAAGAGTTCCTGCCCTTCAGCGCCTAATGTACTAATAGATTTTGTGCAATCATTTCTTCATAACCGGAGTAGCTGGCGGTTATCTCTGGTATGGGCAATCTGGCTTGTCTCTTGGAGTAGGTCTTCCGATTGCATTATTTCTTTTCGTAATCTTTGAGACAGTGTCTTGGCTTATACTTAACTGTCTGGCAATTTGAGAATGTTTGATGCCATTACTTCAAAGTACAATGATTCCGTAGTAAACTCCAATATTCACCTGACGAACTATATTCTGCAGAACTTACTATAACGTTAATAATGGTTGGAGACGGCTTGAATGGGTAATGATGAAAACTTTAATATAAGTTTAACATAACAGCAAATGTACAACGTTTCGACAAGGTTTTGTCATCATCAGGTACAAGTAATTTACACTGACACGGATATATATATATATATACATATATACAGTATTGAACAAAGAAGTCACATGACCGGAACTGTTGCAAAACTTAGAAAAGGTATCTAGGCACCCCGGGGTGTTGGTTTAGAGTAGGGTTGTTTTGTTCAATTAAGATGGATTCCTTGATTTTTTGTTTGTTTATGTTGGGTTCTTTGTTTAAAATTACTGTGTTTTTAATAGATATGCTATGGTTTTTTGAGTTGCAATGGTGAAAAACATGGGACGGTTTTTTTATTGTGTTCTGTCAATCTGGTTTCTAATTTTCTTCCTGTTTCCCCGATG